GTGCCATTGGCTGCAGGCACCGGGGGTGAGGCGGGTCCTGGCGCGCTGGGCGCGGGGTCCCTGGCCACCGCGCCCAGTTTGAGAGGCGCAGTCCGAGGATACCTAGATGTCCGTGAGGAGCACTCGCGGGGCTTCCCAGCCCCATGGCGCATAAACGAGGCTCCAGCCGGTCCTGCTCACGCCCCAGCCGGCTTCTTTCCGTTGTGTGGGAAAGTGGGTCAGCTCGGTTCTGGTCTCAAGTGGGCCTTTGGGGCTACTTGGTTCCGATCAAGCCCTCCGACCCTCACCTCCCCCACCCGCTTCTGGGCTTGGCATGGTCGCCACGCCGGGCTGGAGCCAGCGGTGGGGACAGCTTGCACACATGGCTCGGGAGGCTCCGGTTGCCCATCCGAGAGGCTGCCAGGCTCTAAAGTTCCCGACTGACCACAGCAGTAACTAAATATAGGAGCAGCTGGTGCGGACGGGGTGTCGCAGCGGCTCCTTTGCAGAGATCTCGGAACTGCAGATAAGGTAGAGTTCTTGCTGGTAAGGGCGGGAGTCAGGGGGCCATGGTCAGGGTTTAAGCAAAAGTCACCCCTCCCTCATGCTTGTATCCAGGCGAAAGCAGGTTTTAGGGATAGGAGGGCAGTATTGCCAGCTTCCACAAAGCAGGGCAACTTTTTGGGAGGGTCTGGCATTCAATTTATCATATTCAAACTTCCTCTCTGCAACTGCTTAATTGTCTATTGGTAAACACTTAATGGGTTGCAAAGTCCTTTTTCTTTTTTTTTTTTGAGTCAGAGTCTCACTCTATCACCCGGGCTGGAGTGCAGTGGCATGCTCACAGCCATGGCAGCCTCGACCTGCTGGGCTCAGGCGATCCTTCTGCCTCAGCCTTCCAAGTAGCTGGAACTACAGTTGCCACACACGGTTAATTAAAAAAAATTATTTATAGAGATGAGGTCTAACCAAGTTTGAGGCTGTTCTCAAACCATTGAACTCAGGTAGTCCTCTTGCCTCTATCTCCCAAAGTCCTGGGATTACAGGCGTGAGCCACCACACCTGGCGCAAAATCCTTAAAAGTTACATATCAGTTAATTTTCACAACAACCCAGTAAGGAAGGTGGGATTTCCATTTTATGGGTGGAGCTGCCCACAACCCTGATAACTTTCCAAGACTGTTTGGATTAGGCAGCTTCCCTCAGAAAATTTCTCTTAGTTCCCTGCAGAGAAACAGAGGACACCTTAAAAGAGGCCTACAGCCCCCTCCCCTAGGAATCTGGGAGCAGCCAGGCTGTCTTCCTGAATCTCTCTGTGCATCTGCTGCTCAGACCCTGTCTTCCTTCCTTCTCCCTGCCATGCCACGTGCCTTCGTGACTCCTTGTGTCTGGTGGCCTGGTGTGGTGGACTTACCAGCATCTGGCTCACTCTTCTTCCCAGTGGGAAGCCTGTTCTGGCCCATTCTTCATCTTCATGCCTTTGCTCTCCCAGTGTGGGCCTTATGGAAGACGCCCAGGGGGTGTTTGTTGATTTAAACATTTCTCTGGACCATGATGCTCACTCTGAAGAAAGGAGGTTTGGGGACATGTGGAGAGGGACATGTTTCAAGGGCAGCGGCTGTGTATGAGTTTAGATTCTGTGCTGAAGGGTCTCTGGAATTGGGAGTGCTTTCCTTGACATTTTCTAGCCCATCCCTTCACCTTCCTCCAGTGCCTGGGACTGGCTGGGGCTAGTAGTGCCACCTGGCTAGAGTGTCCCCATCCCAGATCAGACCCATTGGGCTGATGGTACCTGTTTCTCTCCTTAGGGACATTCTGTGACTCTCTGCCCACTGCCCCTGTGCATGGGGTTGACCAGATGCCCGGAGGAGCCCAGGACTTGAGCCTGTGGGGTTCTCCTGGGGCCCTGTGTTTGGGTTCTGGTCCCAAACAAGGGCTACCTTGTGTGCTGATTGCTCGAATGGTGCTGACATGCTGATTTTGGATGGACTCACATTGTTTCTATAGACAGGGGCCCCTTCCTTATCTACAGAGGCAGCCCTGCCTAGGAGTTTCTTATTCAATCATAGGTGGATCCATGGCTTTTTATGCTTCCTGTGTGACTTGGAAAACTTTATCTTTTTTTCACAAACAATTAAAAACAAAAAAGAAAAGAGCAACTTTATATTTTTCAACCCCCCCCCATCAAGGCTTTCTTTCTGAGCTCCTGTTACATGCTAAATAGATTCATGATATTTTTTCGTCAAACAGTCCCAGACTTGGGAGTGAAAAGAATAGTGAGTGAAGACAATCTTATTGGTGTGTTTTGGGGGCTCCAGGAGCCCATTCCAGTCTCTTGTCATCCCCAATTTTTCTTCTCTCAGTCTGAGGCCTCCTTACCCCATCTTGGGCCCTATGTAACATGTTACCCTGCCATCCTTCCATCTTGCAGCCCTGCCTGTGCCAAAGGGTGATAGGCCTTTGTCATTTGGTCTGGAAGAGGGACTGTCAGCTGGCTGTTTAGAGCATCTGCTGGAATATAAGGAGCCCTTCTCTCTAGTGAATTGTTCTGACGCCTAGACTTTGTATGTTGTTCCTGTTCCTGCTCCCATGTCCACTCTGACACATACCATAAAGTATCCGAACTTGCCACCAGTGGTGAGATTTTTTTTTTTTTTTTTTTTTTTTAGTCAGGGTCTCACTCTGTCACCCAGGCTGGAGTATAGTGGCACGATCACAGCTCATCCCAGCCTTAAACTCCTGGACTCAAGCATTCCTCCTGCCTCAGACTCCCTAGTAGCTAGGACAATAGGCACACACCAACATGCCCAGCTAATTTTAAAAAATTTTTTGTAGAGACGAGGTCTCACTATGTTGCTCAGGCTTGTCTCCAACCCCTGGGTTCAAGCAATCCTCCTGGCTGGGCTCGGTGGCTCAGCCTGTAATCCCAGCACTTTGGGAGGCCGAGGCGAGTGGATTGTCTGAGCCCACCGGTTCGAAACCAGTTCGGGCAACTTGGCGAGACCTCGTCTCTACAATAAAAAAATAAAAAAATAAAAAAATAAAATTGTCGGGTGTGGTAGCACGCGTCTGTAGTTCTGGCTATTTGGAAGGCTGAGGCAGAGGGATCGTCGGAGCCCAGCAGGTCAAGGCTGTGGTGGGTGGGAGCGT